ACGCCGAATCAAACTTTATTATCATCTTACTCACGAAACACGAGACTGACGTATCGCGCGCCGTTGAACCCCGCGAACTCTAGAACACATCCAGAATGCTTCCTGACTTTTTCGCCTTTCTCCTTTTCCTTTTAACACGTTGACTGCCACGGTGGTCACCGATGAACAGAGCTTTAAAATTACAAGAAAATAATTATAACTTGTAAGATAACTGATATCAAATAAAAATGTTCAGTACTTGTTTTTCGTGGCAGTCAACGTGTTAATCCCTCTGTTTCTGTTCCGCGCCAGAAATTTGAATCATTTGAGAAGTGTGTGAAATGTGCATTTTGTTGATATGTATAGGGAATTATGTTTGAATTGTAAGAATTACAAGAATCAGCGTACTCTGTTGTGTACGAAGTGTGGGAAAAATTTATATGGAAACTGCTTTTGTAATATAAATAACAACGTTTAACTGTATCTTTATTTTCTGACAGAGTGTACAGTTCATGTATAAAAATATACGAGGAAATGAAGTATTATGTTATTGGAATGTTCACATTGAAGAAAAATATATTATGTTTTAACGTGTTGTTGAAATGAATGCCTCTTTTAGATTTCGTATCTCTTTTTTATGTATTCTACATCTCTCTTGCTTCATTTCATTTAATACTTGTTTATTTCTTCTAAATCACCGTGTATCTCGGTCTAGCAATGAGTTTCTGACTAACTTTTACTTGCCTTTCTTTTTAAACCATTGCGGTAACCTTCATAATATTTGCTCTTTAATCTCAGTACCTTATTACATCCCACCTGTAATTACGCTTTCAATTACCTTTCTCCTAATATACTCTCTGTGTGCTTGTTTCGTTAGTTTCTTTTCAAACCCTTGTCTTCACCGTTTGAGTACGAAGTACCGCAGTAGCGTGTTCATGTAGTTTTTGTATTCATTATGAACCGGTTGTGTTCGTATCGATTGCAATTTTTAACAATATAAAAATTAACAATTATTTTTCATTGGTAAAAGCTGCTTTTTATGTTACATATGTACAACTGAAGGAAATTAGTATCGTTTTTATTATTTTTCCAAGCAACAAAAGGTATGCATTTTACTCCGCATTTAAAAAATTTTCTTTTTAACAAACAAGCTGGTCTGTCCTAGAAAGATTAACAAAAACTGAATAAATGAAATAAAGCCAGAGGAGCGTGAAAGTGTAAGAGTGAATAGATTATATAATAATATGTTAATTACAGATAATTATTTAAAAAGAAAAGTTAATTATAATGAACAAGAGTTTAAACAATAGTTCTGATTAAACTGACTAATGCAGACTTGTTGTGGTATATACAGTTCGTTTTACAATTAGACTGACTGTTTTCAAACTCCTCTCACAGATTATGAACGAAATTTGGTGGCTAGAGTTTCAGTCCATTAGTCAATCAGCATTAAGTTGGCTGGGACGTGTAATGGCGTAGACTGCAGGAGTTTTTCTTGCTCAGGTATGCAGGACACGCAGGTAGACGCGGGACGCCTCGCTTAACCCTCGAAGGGTCGGCGGAAAATTACTACGCGACAGCCCGATAACGGGTCACTTCTGACCCGTAGCTGAATGTTTATTGTACTTACGTCTTTTAGACTTGGTTTTAACACTAAACACACCGACACTTCGATTTTTTTATCACCATCAGATGCGCGCCTTGAAACCATGTGCATCCTGTTGAGTCATTTTTTCTTACTTTCAATAATAGCGGAAATAATTTAGCTGCTCGAGTTAACACATTGTTGAGCGGTCACAAATTAACTCGTGTTTGCAGTTGCATCAGCCATTGCAATGTTTGAAACGCTGGGCAATATAGAATATCGCAGAAGCAAAATAATCAAAGTTATGTAAAAGATATGTCCAAAATTTCATTTCATTTCATTATGTATAAATGAAGTATATTGAAGTTTATTCAGACTGTCTCACTTTCATATTTAATTACGGATTAATAACCGATGACATGGAATAGCTTCCACGTAAAATTTTCGGTGAACGATGTGTTAAAATTAACACTCTGTGTATTATTTAGCTAATTATATATTATTTAGCTGCTGCTAATTAACAATCTGTACAATTACACGGGCAATAAGCAAATTTCTGGAAATATTGAGTTTTTCGGGAACACGCCATCCAGTGACGATGCTCCTGACCAAATGATTTACATACAAACCATTCATTTCCTCGATTGTTCGGAAAACAGATTTACACTATTATTGTGACATACCGTCCAAGCAACGCGACGGATCGATTCTGAATATTCGTTTGAAACCGAGTTAAGATGCAGTTGAAGTTGGTTCTCGAAACTGATTGCCAGAAGAAGCATCTCGCGTTACCAGCGGACTTGCGGTAGCAATGCACAGGTAGGACAACTCCGACAAAGTGTTGCTCGACTGGCGTTCACCATCGCGTTGTATCGGTTCGTATCGAGTTTCTCACACAAGCACGCGCAGAAATGCAAGCACGTTGCAGCGTGCATAATAAGCGGGAGGGGATCGAGGAACTCGGAGGCGAGACGACGACTCCGAGTATTGTCACAAGGCGCCACGTGCTGCTCTCTGCTGCGAATAGTTCGCGATTTACCACAAACGTCTTTCTGGATCGCTGGAAACCCACGCGAGTCTCTTAACCCCTTGCCTTATAATGTCGTGCCAGACAGCACGGTGAAGTTTCTAAACAGAATTTAACAAACATAAATATTACTCGATTCCTTTGAATTCGAATTAAGCATTATTCTTCTGTTATCAATTATTATACTTCAGAGCAAACATAGACATAGAATATGTTTTGAATTTTTCTCCTTTTTCAATAAATCATTAACGACGAAGTATTTGTATTAATCATAGTTGAAAAAGAAATCGTACATTAATCCTTTGCCGTACGGTTTTTCTACGCTACTTTGTTTGGAAAATTTATTTCACTATCAAGACATTTGCGGTCGCATATAATTACGTAAAATCTGCGACTGAATAAATAGCTTAGTTTTCTATACAAATGAGTATGAATATAAGAAATATATTTATGTTGTTAATACTTAGTTATATACTTTGAAATGGCGTAGATTAAGTGACTATTATTCTTTTTAAAAAATGTAAAACAATATAGGACAAAGTTACCATTCTTTGAAAGAAAAAAATTATGGAGGACTACCTTACCGGTCTTGAATGTATTAAACAGTGTGTGAGAATGTGGAGAAAGTTTCTGTTCACTGTAAATGCACATTTAGTTAAATTTGAAACATTGTTAACGATGATATAGCTTTTTATATTGACTTTTGTGTAGTGAATAATATTGATTCTTATTATGGTTCTACTATAGCTAGAAATTATCATGAGTCTGACTTGTCCTTACACAGCATGGGGTTAACCTGTTTGCTGTTTGATCTCTTTTACAATTGCATCCGTTAGACCAATTTTGTCTGTAATAATTTAGTGAAGGGAAGGGAGAACTCTATACTCGTTTTGTGTCTGCTTTGATTACAAAGGTTTGCCGGATAATGACGAATGATACTTGTACTGAAGATTTTTAACTTAATTGAACGAAACTCAATGTTAGCCATCGCACCTAGATGGGAGGTTACAGATTATTTTGCTGTTATCAATATTTTACCTTCAAAGTACTTGCGCATTTGTAACAAACAGAAAATTTCTTAGCGTTTTCGCGAATTTTACCTGATAGTAAAATTAATCGAATACCAAGGAGTTATAATAATTGATAACAAGAAAGTAATATTGTATCGTTGATTGAAGTTAACTTTTGTTTTCGGAAACTGTCAAAGGTGAATGCGTTGTTGCTTCCCATCAGAATGTTCTCGATGAATTTTGCACGGAAGTGGTGAAATTCTCTGCGTAATGGTCTCTTCGATGGATGCCTCTGAAACCAATAGCTAATTGTATTAATCCTTGTATGTATAACCAAAATGTTCGAGGGTATTACGGTATAAAATTAAACACATTGTTACATACATATACTTTGGACAGTTCCTTTGACAAAAATAAGAAAGTGTTGTTAATGAAAACATAGAAATTGGTACCTTGAGTACCATTGCCATAAGATATTAGTCAATGCGCTCACCACCCAGGAAAATACATTTTACTGTGTAAAATTCGCGCATTTTATTCAAATCTGTTCATAAATCCCTGAGCTCGCTATAAATGATGGAAAAGCAAAGTATGTTGCAATAGGAGAATCGAACCGATTTCAGAATCACTAGACGAATACTAGATAGAAACGCGCTGGCCACCATTAATTCCCGCCGAAACCGTCGAACTCTCCAGCTTCCTGAACCGAAATTTCGTTTGCGATGCTATTACGATCGCCTAAACCGAAAATTTCCCATACGCGTTCTGCAAGCATCATCATTAATTATCAACGATCATATCACTCTCATCAAGACAAATCGAACATCCATTTCATTCATTTCTCCAATGAATCCCCAAAGTCCAGTTTCGAGAAATTTCGTTTGCCAACTCAGAGAAATTCGGGTCGTTCATCGTTGGTTGCGCGTCGGAGAGACGTCCGAACGAGGAGGATCGATCGAAACTGACATTAGCAATTACCGCCTCGATTGCACTTCTATTCACGATAACGGCGTTTACGTCCATACGCAAACGTGAGTTCCGCGCAAGCGCCCGCCGCTCAGAGCCCAGCGCGCTTCGTTCGCATCGCGTGGTCCTGGATAAGTATAGTCTAGCAACGACACGGGACGCGGAGCGATACGATATCGCGTTCGTGGGATGAATGCGTGTGTCCCAGTGACGGCCGGCCTCCGTGTCCCGACGAAGGTTGCTTGAGCTCGTCGGAGATCCGGCGCGCCGCGTTGGAAAGCTGATCGCGGATGGCCCAAGAAACGGAACGCGGGTCTGCGCGGAAAAACGAGCAGGAGGTAGACCGCGAGAGAGCGAACGGCTTGGTCGATCCGGAGATTAGGAGAACGCGAGTAACAGGAAGAGGGCGGTGGCAATGGGGCGGCGGGGGGAGGGGTCGAGCAAGGTGAACGGACAACGGCGATCGAGTTAACGAAAGAGTAAACGGGGAAAGAGGTTGTGCGGACAAGGATAAGCAACCGGGGAAAGAAAGAAGGGAAGAATGTGTATACCCGACGGCTGGGCACCTACTATGCACCAAGGAACTGCAGGAGATAGAGCGTGCAAGATATAGAACGGAGCGAAAGAGCGAAGCTGATAGCGAAATACGAGGGAAACGGTACGTGACCGAGTAAGATAAAGGGTCCAGAAGGATGCGAGATAGGACGGGAACGGAGGCGTGAGGGAGAGGAAGCGATAGGAGGGATACTCGAAAGAGGGTTCCTGTATGCGTGACACGTGGGTGCGTGGCTGCGTTGGCTGCGTGCGTGCACAGAAAAACACGTCGCGAACGGCTCCTCCGTTCACTAGTCTTCCTCGGTGTAGGAGGGCTCGGATTCAAGCGCCTCCCACACCGTACATACGATACGCTCCTCGCGTGCACGTATAAAAGGAGCTGCTCTACGCGCCTAGTACGTGCGTGAACGCAGGGCTCCTCTCTCCGCTGTTGCTTCTTCCCCCGTTCCTCGTTTTTTAACCGCGATACGCGGAGCTCTTCTCTTTCTTGCTCAACCCTTCCCGCCTGTTCTCCTCCTCTCTGCCTTTTTTCCCTCTTGTCCCCCACTCCTTCCAGTTCTTCTCTCCCCTTCTTTTTTT